TGAAAAAAAATTAAAAGAAATTCGAAATAGAATGATTAGTAAAATTGAACAATTATTTGATGTTCATATTGACAATAAAGACAAAAGACTTGATTGAAAAGATTGGGGAATTGATGTTATGAAATTTGATCAATATAGAAGAAATGATAATAATACGAATAATGGTAATGCAAAACGTTCAAATGGTCATGCAACAACAACAATGGATACAAATCCTAATGAACATGAATAATTTGAAGGTTTTGGTTTATTAATTACAGGTCAAGCATTAGGATATGCATTAGAAAATAAATTAAAAATGAAATTTCTTGAACTTGGTACAATGTGTAAAGCTGTTGTTTGTTGTCGTGTAACACTATTACAAAAAGCTCAAGTTATTGAATTAGTTATGCAAAATGAAAAAAAAACTACATTAGCTATTGGTGATGGTGCTAATGATGTATCAATGATACAAAGTATGAAACAAAAAAAAAACAAACAAACATTTTTGTTTTATATTCAAGAAAAATAAAAATGTTTTTTTTTTTGTTTTGTAGAAGCACATATTCGAGTTGGTATTAGTGGACAAGAAGGTCGACAAGCTGTTTTAGCAAGTGATTATAGATTTGGACAATTTCGTTTTCTTGAAAGATTATTATTGGTTCATGTTCGTTGGTCATATTTACGAATTTCAAAATTTTTACGTTATTTTTTCTATAAAAATTGTGCATTTACATTATGTCATTTTTGGTTTGGATTTTTTTCGGGTTTTTCAGCACAAGTAAGTTATAAAGAGAATTAAAAAAATAGAATTATTTCATTTCCTCATTATTAGACAATATATGATCCATTCTTTGTGGCAGCATATAACGTTTTCTTTTCTTCATTATCAGTTCTGGCATTAGGTGTTTTCGATCAAGTATGTCAAACATTAATTTCTATTTTCTATATATTATCGAAAAAATATTTTTTCAATTTTTTTAAGGATATTAGTGCTCTTTTTTTTCAAAAAAAAAAAAGATTTACAAGTCTTTTTGATTTATGCGGTCTAAAAATGTCTTTCACGCCTTTCATATGTGCTGTCATGACTGTACCACCAATAGAATCAGCTCATAATGAATAGAAATGATACACCCAATATATTTTTTTTCTTCTAAAGGAAATTAATATTGCTGCTTATTAGAGTAAAAATTATGGTATAGAATCGGTGTGTTTGTCATAGTGCATAAATAGGTTACATTATTTGATTCGAACAAATAAACAATAAACGATCGTACAATAGACTATGAATTAGCTCTTTCTTTGTGATCTATTCTTTTTTAGTTCGTCCGCCACGAATATATAAATATGCGGAATTTTATTCAATGATCAGGAACATACATAGTGGTGAATATCGTGGTGAACATCGTGATTATTTTACCAGAAATAATGTGCAAGCCAAAGTACGCGGTAATATTTTTTTAACTAAGTATTTTTATTTTAATATTTTTTTTTAACAGTTAAAGAAAAACTAATTAGTTCCTCAATTAGTTCCTCATGGTTATGAATATGATTTATATATACACATCGTATTTATTTGTAGATTAGTAAGAAACAGAATTTCTTATCTAAAAGTAATTTGATTGCTTTTTTTTAGAATATGGAAGTCAAGAAAACTGCTGCACAATTACTACAAGAGATCGCCCAAAAACACACGCAAGAAAAGATTGCAGATCAACTCAAAATTGCATCACTCGAAGTCGAAAATAAATTACTTCGTGAAGCATTATTCAACAACAATCAACAATCAACGTCGTCATTCAACAACATGGTTTATGGTATTGTTCAATATGCTCCGGTGTTAATTGGCTTATTAATGGTTATTCATTACTGGAAATGAATATCAAAATGGACATGGACATAAATATGGACAATTTTTTTTTTCTAAAATTGTAAAGGAATTGATTTCCTCTTTTTCATTCCTGTAACGTTGTGTTTCTTTCTTGTAAGTTCAATTTCATCAAATAAAAATAGAAATGATGCCTATTAATATCAATACATTATATTTTATACAGTTAACAACAATAATAGTAAAAAAAAAAAGTCTCAACATAATAAAATAGGCGTCGGTTCTCTTTGAGCGATCCACTAATTAAATTCTCATAGCATTATAATGCAATGCGCATGTATCGATTGAGAGTGTAGAAGGATCGATCAGATAAATTCACATGGAATACAATAATAAATGATCTAGATGAATTAATTATTTTGTCATCTATAAGATATGAATTAAACTGTTGATCATTATCAATCATATACATTCGACCAGAATTGCCTCTTACAGCTGATTGACAACTAATTTCATATGTACCATTAAGACTTTGGACACAATAACGTGCATGATCAAACAATATATATTTGATCAACAACACGTTTTTATTGTGCACAAAAAACAAATTAACACAAATAACGAATACATAATTTTCCAAAAAAAAAAAAAAAAAAAGTCAAAACTTGAAGTGAATATACCAAGTTATCAAATTTTCTTTGTTTTTATTTCATCAAACACTGAGATAAAAAAAAGATAAAAATGCTTTCGCTGTTCATTCATATCAAGAAAAAAAAACAATAAGCAGAGTGGCAAGTCAGACAGACTTGAAACCCTGGAACTATCATTCCTTATCTTTTCTATCGATCACCTCGATTGGTAGATATCTTTCTTTTCTTTGTTTATATTCATCTTTTTGTTTATTCGAGGACATCGAAATTTTCCACTCTTATATTATATATTCGAGGACATCGAAATTTTCCACTCTTATATTATATATTCGAGTACATATTGTTTTGCGCGTTCTCTCCTTTCTTTTATCTTTCTCTTTTTCTCTCTTTTTGTTGTGGTCCATATATGAACTATATGTCTATGTTTTATTCGGTGGATAAAAAAAAAAAAGAAATAAAAATAACAATAAAAATAAAAAATATCATATCAACTATTGATTTTGTCGATCTAGCCCAGCAAATCCGGAAGAAAACAAAAGGCAAGATTGACACAGAGGAATAGTTGAGATTCTTGAGCGGTACACATCGAGATGAAAAACTTTTCTTGCAAAATGCATTTGACAAATTCGAGAAAGATTTTATATGACATCAACTGTCAATTTACTTGGTTTTTAATCAAACTAAATTATTAAAAAAATCATAGTTTAAGGAGAAAATGTATAGATAATCTTATCAAGCATATTTTGTTGATTGGTCATCGGCTGTCGAAATTGTCTTTGACTAAGTATTTTAGCTATCTTTTGTGCACTCCATGTTTTCATTGTGGTAGTTGTCTCTCAAGATGAGATTATTAACTATAGAGTACAACTTGCTCTGCTTTTGATTGATCTATTCAAAACCATATATAAGTTGAATGAGTATATTGGAAAACAATAGAATTTCTGATGTTCTATTTTGAAATAAAGTTCTTTGGACAATACTATCCACATGAAGTGCCGCAGCTTGTATAGAAGATTTTACTTCTGAAAAAATTCTCATTCTATCAGTATCAAAGTGAGATGCATTGCTAGAGTACAGTTACATATTAAATGATGATGCAAAACATTTCTGCTTAGTGACATGGATAATTATTATTTCCTCTGCATTATTTTAGTTACAACTTTACAGAAAACAGTTTTGCAGGCAATTATCCATCTATCTGTTTGCTTTTAAAAAAGTATCATGTACAATGAGCTTTCATTTATGAGTATTTATTAAGTGATTCAATAAAGATCAAGAAACTTTTTTTCAATGTCATAAGTCACATTACATCTTCTCCGTAAATTATTTTTTATGATACGATTCATCGAATACTTCATTGTTCAAAAAAATTTATCATATAAAATATAACATTGCATATAGACGGCTTGTGATTACTAACCTTTGTCTTTTTATTGTAATTGTCAGGCTTTTAGTCTCATCCATCTGTCATTTTAAAAATATGACTGGCTAATAAACAAAGTATATATATAACCTTTGAAAAAATGCTTTATTATTTTAATCTCGAAATAGTTTTCCATCACTCGATAAAAGCGTATTTAACAATCGAGAAAATATATTAGAAAAAAAATTCTTTTCAAATATTTTCACAAAATATAATTCTTTCATTAATAATTGTTTTTGATCTATTGATATGAATTTTAATGCTAAAAAGATTAATGTTTGTCTATAAATCCATAATAATTCTCTATCAAAATAGAATTTTAACATATTTTCATTAATTTTCAATTCTTGTTCAATTAAATTTTCATTGACATTTTTTTTCGATAAAAGAAAAGTACGAAATGAAAATCCACTTGAATCTGAAATATTCTTTTCTAACCATAAACGATTTCGATCTAATTCTTCATCAATATTAATATTTCAGTATTGAATAATCCATCGACGATATAATCATGATGCATAATTAATAATATGTAATTCAGCTGTTCGATCACATATTTCTAATTCTTTATTAATTGATATATTATTAATATTTTCTTGTTTTAATATCCAACGTCTATATCGAAATAATTGTTCACTTTTAGGTTTTAAATGCAAAAGAACTTCCAAAAATTGAAGTTCATCTTGAATATTTATTACATTCGATAACACTAAACGTCGACGTATATTCCAACTTGTTAAACATTCAGTTACATAACAAAGTAAAACACGTGTTAAAATATTTAATTGTGAGTTATCTTGATAATGTTTTGAAAATATAAATGAATAACATAAATTAACAATTGGTTTTATTTCATAAAGATTTAAACATAAATAAATATTTTCTTCACAATGACAATAGACTGTATATTCATCAGTTGATGTTAATGGCATAAATTCAATTGATTTACATTGTTCAATAGATGATGAAAGTAATGAAAGCAGAGACCAATCTGTTACAGACATGTGAAGTATTTTTTAACCTGAAAATATTTTATTTGGATTTGTATTTTATTAAAGAAAATTGATCATAGAATTTATTTTTTTTTTTATATAAAAAATATGACAAAAAAAATATTCGATTAATCATCTTCGATTTCAAAGATGTTTGTATATTCTTTTCGACAATTTAGACAACATTTTTTTGCTGATTGTTTCTCAAATAGATCTTTACAATCAAAACAAAAGAAGACATGACCACATGGAATCAATACACAGTTCGTTGATCGATCACAACAAAGTTGGCATAAGCCTGCATTATCATCTTTCTCTTTCTCTGGCAATGGTTGATTTATTGTTTTTGTAAGTGAAATCAAACCAAATAAAGAGAGAGCTGTAATACGACCATTAAGGAAAAAAAATGGATAAAATTTTTGACTTGCATCAGCATATGCTACAGTTTTGGTTGGAGAGGTTGATTCATTATTACGCCACATATGAATTTCACCACTTTTATCATATACGAAACAATATTCATCAAGTTCATTTAATCTTTCATCGAATGCATCTTCATTTAGAATCCAAAATTCTTTACGATCATATAATGCTATTAGATCACCAGCTGGTAGTTTATTAAAGTCTTCAACAAACACCGATCGATGAGCATTGGTAAAACCAAGAATTCCTCTTTGAAAACAAAACATTATCAAATTAAATAGAAATTAAAAAACAATTATTTACGGTGTTCGATAGTTAGGATCAATAGATAAAATTCGTATATAAAATTCATCATCGGGTACCATTGGTAGATCAATAAATAAATAAGGTCGTACTAGGTTTTTAACATATAATAAATGTAAAATATATATTTAATAATTTTCATATTATAGTTTTAAACACACTTTTTCTAAAAACAACTTTATTTTGACAAAATAATTCTAGTTCCGGTCCATGAACATCATGGAAAACAATCGGTTAAACATCTGCATGTTTTAATGGAGTAAAATAACGAATTGATAATTGATCTGGTTTTTTATCATATTTCGTATAGAATCCTCTGCTACCATTTATTGTCTGTGGTGGTGTGGTAAAAACAACGCCTAAAGAATAATAAACAAAATTTTTCATAAATTAAATCTTATATTTAAATTGCTCTTATCAATGACAAAAACTTGATACCAACAACTAATAATCTAGAAAATATGAGATAAAAAGTTTTCCTACTGAAAATGCTTATTTTAGCGTTTTCATTAGATGTTAATAAGCTCAATGCAAATATTGTAATTGTTATTAAATAACTATGTATGAAAGACAGTTTTTTTTAAAAAGTTTATGTGTTTTCGGACATTGGAGGATGGTTGATTTAATCATATGTCTTTCTCTTCACATGAGAAAGTTTTTAAAGACGTAATAGAACAGAAAAAAAAATTGCGTTTTGCTTTTTCTACATCGCTACCGCTTTTTATGACTGATAATGACCCACAGACAAGTCAAAATTTGCGTACATTTATTTAGCAATCAAGAGAAAATAATTATCGAACTAAAATATTTTGTAGTGAACTTACTAATCTAAAAAAGAAGTTCGATCCAAATCGAAGAGGGTTTTGGTCTCAGAATCGTTCCGGATATGTCTAATCCTCCTTCAAATTCAATTATGATTCGGATTCGAAATATTACAATCTATTTCATTTCCAAGAAATCTCTTTATATTTCGCTTCAGATAGAAATATTCAATAATATACCTTTAACATTGCCGTATATATAGAGGTGTAAGCCGTCCGGCTGAGCCGCCGTCGCCGCCGATAAACTCGGAAAATTTTAAGCCGCTGCCGCCGTGAAAGTGGAAATTTTAGAAATTTTTAAGCCGCCGCCGCTGAGGCACTTTAATTACAGTCGTCGCGCCGCCGATAGTATTCGAAATTTTAAAGTTTTCGAGCCGCCGCCGCCGGCAACTATTGAAAATATCGATAACATTTCATTTATATTTTCCTTAATTCGATACTTTTATATCTTGGAACCCCAATATATCTCTTTTTTCATTAACTTTCTCGCCTTCACCTTCACTTTCATGCTGGCTCTCTGACCAATCAGATGTTTGGGGATCGAAATTGTGAATGAACCCTTTATTCTGTGTTGGTTGAAAATTCTAAATTATCATTTTAGTTTATGTCTTTTATATTAGATATATTTATAAATACAAGAAGAGACGAGCATTTTAAATTTTAATTAACAAAAACAAAATAAAAACAACAAACTTGAGTATGCTAGGTGCTTTTACATATTAACAATCGTGGTGGTGATTTCTCATCTATTATTTATCCTGGCAATTATATTTATTTTTAATTATAGACTTTTTTTTATTATGTCTAGATGTGAAATAAAGTTTTTCCACATATGTATTTGAAAATAAAAAGGCCAAGATATTGAAATAGGCCTTGTCTACACTAAAAATTTTGACGCTGAATTAAGAAACATGATTGGTTGAACAGTTAATAAATATCTAAAACACTTTTAAAAAGTGCATTAAACTTATTGTACTTTTCAGGACAACATTAAATTCGATGCACCAATCAATGTCTGATTCGATTTTCTAATGAGACTGACACAGTTTTCAATGGACGAGTCCTCTATGATTAAAGTGAACAAAAACCACGATTCATTTCGAAGACTAGGATTCTGATTGATGCATTAACTGTCAAATGTAGGCACGAATTGATGTAACACGAATTTGATACTACATTATATTCCTAGTGTAGATAAGGCCATAGACTAATATTTTTATGATAATGTAGTATTTTTTAAACTTCAAGCCGCCACCGCTGAGACACTTAAATTGCAGCCGCCGCGCCGCCGATGGTATTCGAAATTTTAAAATTTTCGAGCCGCCGCCGCTGTGTAACCTTAGAATATCATATCTGCGCCGCCGAGCATTTTAAAAAAGTTTAAAAAACTGGCGCCGCCGTCGATCAGCCTATCGGCTTACACCTCTACCTACATGTCGAAAATTTTCAAAAATCCAGTATCTATTTTTTGTTACAGCAACGACTCAAATATCTTGAACAGTTTTCAGTCATCAGCTACTGTCCTGCAAGTAAGTCGGGTACTCGATCTAGTCCAAAGTATGGGTTCGTCTGCAAACTCATCGGATCAATTCAAGTTCGGGTGTGAGATCATACCTGAACTCGACCCGGCAATTAATGAGATCTCGACGTTACAAAATGTTTTAACTTTTTCAAATTGTTAATTTATTTAAAAGCATAGGAATGAAGATCGGAGCAATTTATTGTACTTGAGAACAGATCACAGAAGTGGAAAGCGATATTGTTTTACTAAAAGAATTTTGTTTTTAATGAAAATCCATCTGTATATGACGATGAACCATATGACGAAGTAATTGTTTACATGGAAAGGAAAATGAATTATCCAAAAAGTGCACATGTATTATCATGATTGAAAAAAGCATGAATGTATGTATCCACAATTATGACATTTCGCATCAATACTTCGCTTTATTCGAGCGTCATTAACAACAAGCAAATGTATCCTTATCAAAATTAATCAGATTTTAGAAGCAGAATGACACCAAGTGAATCCTGAATTACTAGCATTTTTGTAGAATATGAGATAATCTCTTTTCTTTTTATTGCTGTCTATGGAGGAAACTAAATAATATAGTTTTTCATACAAAATAGAAGTTTGAAAATCGTACTGTGAGAAAGTATCTGTCGGATGTCGATTAGTTCCGATTTCGAAAACTCGTACCAGTGCAGGACACTATCATCAGAGGCAATGGTACCCCAGTCAGTCGAATTACACCATTACATATGTAGTCTAACAATAATGAACGCTTCTCATGTAATCGAAATCTATGATCAAATTTTCATCTGATTTCAAATCCAATCATATACAAGTTTGAAACAATTAAAAAACCATAAAATATCTTCTTATCAAAAACAAAACTTCTTTGAGTTAATCCATGACTCTTTTTCGCTATTTTTTTTTTATAAAGAAAAATTAACTATTTGCACCAAAAATTATATTCAATTTCACACTGTAAAAAAAACGAAGAAATTAATATCAAATGAATAAAGAAAAATTTAATTATTTCTCTTATCTACGGTACAAAAAAAAGAATTAGAGAAAACATTATAACACATACATAAATTGAGACTAAATATCAAAATAACCTTTCATAAGGTAAATTTAAATATTTTCCTGTTTGTGAATGTATAAGTTTTTGAATTCGTTCAAAACATACACTATCACGAAACCATGTATAACGAAATAATTGATTCATATCTGGTCGAGCAAATGTATTCTTTTCTAATGTTTTTATAAGAATTTCTTTAAGATCTCTTTTTGTATGTGATATTGAATTCAATGCACGAATACCTCGTAGACGAAAAATAGTATCTCCAACAAAAGCATTCAATAGAGTCATACCGAACGACCAAACCTAAATAAAACAAAAAAAGAACAATTATTTCTTAAATAAAAACAGCTATTTGATTGATAAAAAAATAACTTCTTATTTGCTCTACACTTATCATATTGTATTGTTTTATTAGTATGATTGTAAGTTATGTAAATAAAAAGAGTAATGCGTAGTTTTATCTTTCGTTCTTCACACTAAGTCAGATTACTCTTTATCAAAATAATCTTCTACTCGTAAACATCAACAATCATCATTAACATGATAGAATGAACTACATTCATTATGTTTAAACAAGTACAGAAAATTTCTTCCTCATAAAGGACATAAATTTTAAATCGAAAAAAAAACGCAATTTCTGCGGGATTAAAATGTGAAACATGATGTATCTGTTGTTGTTAACTACAGAATGATTGTTTTTATTCTATCTATGTTAGAACACATCTATTCATCATAAATCCTCCAGCAATACAATAAAGAAATAGTTCATATATTATAACGAGATTTTATTGATATACGATCTGTGACGCTGGAATAGAATAGTGTTGCTAAGATGTCTCTCACAATCTGTGGATCCAAATTTTTACCCTTCTTACTTCAACATTTATTTTAGAAAATTTAAAATTTCATACATCAGCATTTGTTGAATGTCCTGTTTGAAATTGTACTTCGGGTGCCATAAATTGTTGTGTACCAGCAATAGTTGTATTTAAATATCTTGATGATGCATAAATATATTTCGCTACACCAAAATCACTTAATTTTGCAATTGTTTCTCTTTCATTTGACATAAGAAGAACATTAGCTGGTTTTATATCACGATGAACCTAAAATAATAATAATAATAATAATAAAAGAATATTTGAAATAAATATTTTATATTTATTATAACTATTTTAATTCGATGTAAATATGTAAGTGCACAAGCAATTTGATAAAAAATAAATTTACATTCATCTTCTGTCATAATATATGTTTTATATATACGATCAAATAATGAACCACCACTAGCATATTCCATTTCAACAAATAGATCTGATTTTTCATGATAAACATTAAAGCGACGAAGTATACATGGATGATCAACACTACCATGAATAGATCTTTTATTTCAAAAACAAAAATTTTCAATTAAAAATTCTTTAAATAATAAAATTTTTTTACACTTCTCGATAAAGATATTTTGAAAAGCCAGGACCAATTTGTTTTTCACATTGATCTTTATTTATAATTTTTATTGCATGATATGTTTGTGTTACATATGATATAGCTTTATAAACATCTGCAAATGAACCTGAACCAAGTAAATTAGCTTTTAAATATCGTTCATCAAGATCAATAACACCAAATAAACCTGATAAATGAATAAATCTATATGCACGATTTTCTTTTAAAGCAAGTGAACTAAAAATTTCTTTTCTTTTTTTTTTTGAAGAAAAAACAAAATATTGTTTAACTTACATAATATGTTCATTATTTTGAAACGAAATTTTTGAATTATGAACAAGTTCACCATCAATATAACAACCATTTCTACTAACATCTCGAAAAACTATTGATCGATTATTATTATTTATATATTCGATTATAAAATGTTTCGAACTTAAATGAATAAAATATTCATGTTGTCGAAGATCATTTGAATCTAATACAATATCACATTCAGTTGGATGACGTCCAATTATATATGATGATTTTGTTAAAATTCCACGAGGATATATATTATTAATTGGTTCTAAATAACCCCATGGAATTGTTGAAGATAAAGCCATTTATTAAAAAAACAAAAATTTACAACTGTTGATTCAAATTGATGAAAGTAAACGAATCGAATGGATAGACGGAGTGAAAAGAGGAAGGGGAAAGAGAGAGCGAGAGAAAAATCAAGTGACCGTCGGGCAATGTTGTCGTTAGAAATTGGCATTACTTTCCTCTTTTTCGTCATTCTCTCCTTTTGCATATATATGTGAAGTGTGTGATAAACGATTATTTATTCAAACAATACACAACAGTTTTAACAAGATTTTTTTCGTATATATTTTGTTCTATTTCCCAATAATCAATCGAACTTTCATCGCTAAAGATATGATAAACAAGAGTATGTCGAATAGATATTTTTCATAATGAGTGTCATTCAAAAGTGTGTAAATTGATTATTATCTTAATTGAAAACCATCTTGTAACATAACAGTTAATATAAAATAAAATAGATTGTATAGAACTCTATAAGGAATATATGTATAGATGAAGTAACATAAGATGTATTTGTTGTTAATATATCTTCAAATGAATAAATATGTAAATATAACGAATGCAATCTTTTCAAAATGATTGACGAATAAGAGTTTCATTTTATGAAAAATAATCTACTGTTAAATTTACCTTAAAGTTTATTTTCAATATTTTTATTTGATAAGTTAGAAATGTTAAAATATTCTTTATTAGAACTATAGAAAACTTTTTTTTTATTTTTTCACTATTTACCTACATTGATATTTGATTATTGATGACTTCTACTATTCAAAAATTTTCTGATTAGTTATGATATACGGATACAATTTATTCTTACTTTTAAAATTGAGATCGAATTGAATAGATCAGAGCTCTGAATGGAATGTAATGAATCTTCTGTTCCATGAAATTTTCATATTTTTGTTTTGCTTCTCTCGTAAAAAACACAAACTCTTTTTTTACATTCAGCATTTTTTTCTCTCGTATGTTAACCTTAGTTTGTCTTGTTTTTAGATTATGATTTATATTTATCAATACCGTTTGTCAGGAAAAAATACGATCATATGTCGTCCGTTATTTGTTTTTTATATTGGGTCCCATTTTTTCTTATTATACTTTTTTGGAAACAATGTAATTAAGAAGCTTATTCAACTGGAAAGAAGTATACGTACATCACTACATTACGGAGCAAAGAATATGAAAAAAAAAAAAACTTAGAGAACGAACATTTTCTTTTTTATTCGTTGTGTTCGTTCGATATAATTATGACATATGTATCGCGTGATACTCGTTAGAGTCTACAAATAACCCGGTTTTTTGTAGACAATAGTAATGTGTTTATAATGTAGTTGGTGATTAAACAGAGGTAAAGCATAGATATTTAATCAGTATACTACAATACAATATTTATTTCTATTAAAAATGCCATCAATTTTATATTCTACGACATGTTATATAAAAAATGATCTCTATCATTTAAGAATATGTGTTGATAATAATGATCAAAATTCCACTAATACCCAAATAACAACAGATTCATCTACATCGATACCTAATGATATTACAATTGATAGTATTATACCTTCATTAACTCGATTACATTTGATACCAGTAAACGAGCAAAAACTTACACTCGTCCCTAGGGAAATTATTCTTGATCATATACTTAGTGTTAAACAAACAAATACAAGATTAAATGGAAATAGAAAACATTCTAGTGATATTAGTGAAATAAATAATATAAATTTTACTAGAACATCATCTATTGAACAATCACGACGAACAAGTTATTCAACGTTGAGTTCACTTATTTCAACAGTTACAGTACCACGAATATCAACAATACGTCGGCCACCTAGTCTCGCAAGATTGTTTTCTATTCAATCACGTAGAGATAGTGAAGCTCATTTAATGCATAAAACATTAGTTAAATTAAGTTATGTTGATGTATCAAATTCAATACGATGGAATATAAAAAGATTAGAAATTGAAGTTGATACAAAAGATATAGCAGATACATTACAGTTAAAAGTAAATTTATGTTTATCAACACTTAAACAACGACCACATCGTTTATTAGCCTTTGTTAATCCATTTGGCGGTAAAGGTAATGAAGACAATGTTTTTTTCTTGTGAATCTGTTAGATCTTTTCACGCTACTTATACAATATATATATATGTTTTATACATCAGACAAACATGTGACTCCTTCAATTAAGAATATTTATCTATGCTTTCAAAATAATATTTAAGAAAAAACCAAAAAGAGCCATACTTGAACATGATTTCGATCATACTATCGAAAAAAATATGTCTAAAGATCGGCTTACAGTAAATCGTCTCTTGTTTACACTAGTCAATTGAGTTTTACGATATGTTTACTTGTTTTTTGTAGATAATACTAGTTTTCAAGGTCTGTTTACTTTCTTCGAGGTTTATCATATATTATAATCAATTTTCGTGTATTTTTGCACCCTGATACCTTGAAAAGTACACTTTTTGTATCTAATCGAAAGTCAACCAATGATAAAATTTGTTGAATTAAATTGATGCTAGTCTTTACTGTATAGAGTGTAACAAAACCATTACACCCCCTTCTGCAACTTAAAATATAAATGATATCATAAAGTATTTTATACCAAATCAATACTCATCAAAAACTAGACATATAAGTGTAATTAGAGCAATTATTACCTATAAAATTATTGAAATGTCTTGAAATTGCATGCTCAAATGTACTTGTACTTTATGATTTTCATTCCTTATTTACATATTTTCATAATAACTAATAGCAAATTCATAATGTCTGTCAAAAACTGAATCTATAGACATGTCATTTATATAATTTTAATGAAAAGAAAAATTTTGTTTTGGACTGTAGTCCAAACGAAAGCATTTGATTAATACGAAAAATGTTCTTTTTGTTTATTATCTAGGTCGAGCACGATTCGTATATGATAAAACAGTATTACCTATATTTGAAGAAGCAAATATTATTGTTAAATCAATATATACACAACGTGCAAATGAAGCAAAAGACTATTTGATTAATGAAGATTTGAATGAATATGATGGTGTTATTTGTGTTGGTGGTGATGGAATGTTTTCAGAATTATGTCAAGGACTTTTATTACGAACATCTCAAGAAGCACAATTAAATATCAATGATCCACAAGTAAATATAACTCAACCTAAGTTAAGAATTGGTATTATACCAGCTGGTTCAACAGATGCTATTGTTTTTGGTACAACAGGTCTTAATGATCCAATAACAAGTACATTACAAATTATTGTTGGTGAAACACTTTCAATTGATATAGCAACAGTAAAACGATTATATCTAATATTTTTATTTGTATTTCTTTTTTATTTTTGTTAAAGATTCATAATGAACAAGGATTTGTACGTTTTATGGCAGCAATGCTTGCATATGGATTTTTTGGTGATATTATTCATCAATCAGATAAATGGCGTTTTCTAGGTCCATTAAGATATGATGTTGCTGGATTTTGTCAATTTATTCTTAATAGATCATATGATACTGAAGTAATAGTTACATTAGCATCTTCTGATTCATCACAATCAACATTACCAATGAGTAATGTTAATGATGGAGTTGAATCATCTGCTATGTCTGATTCACAACACTTAACAAATAATACTAATTCAGAAACAATTGGAAATAATCAAATAGATAATACAATAAAAGTTCTTGGAAAACTTGTTCTATCAACATCAGTATTTTGTAAAAGACATTGTGAAAAATGTGCTGAACGAAAAAATCATAATGCTAATAAAACAAATTCATCATTAGAAATCACACGTCGAGGAAAATATACAACAATAAATTGTCTTAATATGCCATGTCGAACTGCAAAAAGTAAATTTGGAATATCACCATTTGTTCATTTAGGTATGTTTATTTTATTATAATATAATTCTTATAAAAATCATTAATTAGGCGATGGATCATTCGATGTAATTCTTGTTAAACGTTCTTGGCGTACAGGTTTTTTACGTTTTCTTTGGCAAGTTGCTAATGATAGTCGATCTATAGAAAATTTACCTAATGTCGAACGATATCGTGTTAGTGAAGTTGTTATACGTCCAATACATATAAATCAAAAACGATGTGGTAATTGGGCATGTGATGGTGAATTATTATGCGGTAATGAAATAAAAATTCGTATTCATCGTCAAGTACTTAATCTTTTTGCTTCGGGTATACAATTTGACAACATTGAAGAAAATACTTCAAAAAAAGAAAAACAAAAAACTAAATGTGGTTCATTTTTTCGATGTAAAAAACGTAAACATTGCAAAAAGGATATAAATCCTTAAATATTCTTTATATATATATTTTTTTCAAATATATTTTCGTCAAATTTTTTCTTCTTCAATATACTAGTAGCAAGTAGATATTTTTTCAATTAAAAATAAATAAAATATATACATAAATATGTGTATTTTCTTTAATTATATTTCATTGTTTTCTGGTTTTTTTCAATGAAACGTTAATCAAATTTTGAAAAAAAATTCAAAAATTCTTTCTCTTGTATCGGATATAGAACATCAAGAAAATAAATTGAATTCAGATTATCAAATTTGCACTGAAATCAAGTATTTTCAAAAAAAAAACATGACATTTTTACATAACGATAAATTGATAAAATCAATTGATTTCTTTTTTTTTGTTAATTTCTAATTACAATAATTTTTCTCGTAATGAACCATAAAAGAAAAATATTTGATTCATATCTAAGAAAAAAAAATTTTTTTTTTAAATTGATTTATTAAAATATTTTGTAATAATTAATTATTACTTTTAAAACAAATAATATTCAAGAAAATGTAAAGAAAACCTATAAAAAATCCAATATTAATTAGAATATGACAGAGGTGAGTAAGTACGAGAACGGTTTCTTTTCTTCTCCCACACTCTCAGAATATAAATGCCGGCTATCGGCCTAAGAATACTTGTACAAGTACGTTATTCCCACTTGTTCACCTCTCGAATATGAAAACACAAAGATTGAAGCAATTGTTAACTTTATTTTTTACTGACAGAAATTTTGAAAAAGTTCAACACTGATGTTAAATAGTTTATATTATGATGAAATATTTCAAATTCAAAGTCATGTGATAAAATATTAGTTATAATTATGAAAAGACTATTACTCTAATTTGCGAATAGCATGTTTTATGGTAATTAGTCAAAGAAAATCTTGACACTGACTTTGCACAAGGTTAAATTACGTCAATATTGTTTTTCACATTTACCTCGATGAAATATATATATATAAAATACCTAAAATTATAAGAATTGTGAATTATATATTCAATCTATTATCTAAATAACAAGATCTTATATCGAGTCATTGTTTAATTATAGATGAATGAAAATAACAAAAATTTATATTATTTGCTTCTTTATATTTATTGTTATTGCAATTAGACAAAATGTTCAAATGTTATAAACAAATAAATCCTTGAATATTAAGAAAAATAAAAAAAGGAAAAAATAATGTTTTTTCAGTTGATATCAATATCAACACGAATTTGTACACCAGAAGCTAACGTACCAAATGAAAATAAATATGGAAAACTAAAATATAATGATGTTTTTTTTGTTTCGTAATAATTTTTTTTTACTTACATAATTGCAGCTTTCCAAGCTAAAGAAAATAGAAATCGAAAACAACGTGTCAACATTGATTGCACATAAGTATATGGTTGTAAATAGGAAGATGTCACCGAAAATACTTGTAAAGAAAACATTATTTACATTAAAATCTATAATAGAAAATACATATAATTAACATAAGAATAGAGTAGACTTAAGAAATCTAACAAAAGAATGACTCGGTCTCTATGATTCATAGATATACGTAGGTTTTAGTAATATGACAAATACGACAGGCAATAACTCAGGACACTATCTATGTTTCCATAGGTTTCTCTGACATTAATGATCTTTTTGTTTTTTTTTTCTCTTCGTCAGAGAAACGAAGAATACATATAAGAGATGATTCTTATAGAATTCTACTTATTCATAAGTAAGCATTCCGAACATCCACAGAATACAATCATCAACATGGGAAATCTTCATCCGTCTCGTTCTGAACGTCCAGAACTAAACGAACGTGAATTATCTTATATAACTCTTCATACTCATTTTACACGAAAACAGATAAATGATTTTTATATTCGATTTTTAACTTATTATCCACGTGGTTATGTAAACTTTCAACAATTTTGTGATTTATATTGTAATGAATTAAAAAATTTACATAATTCACGGCCATTACTTGAACGTTTATTTCATCATATAGATACAGATAAAAATGGACAATTAAATTTTAAAGAAATTTTATTTTTTAAAGCTATTACTATGCCTGAAACAGATAATGACGAAAAATTTCGATGGATTTTTTTTCTTTATGATACTAATCTTGATCATCATATTGATGAATATGAATTTTTAAATTTATGTCATTTAGCTTATTTTATTCATGGAAAATTATTAACAAAAGATCGTTTAAATGAATTAAAAATTTTATTTGAAAAATTTGATATTAATAATGATAAACAATTAAATTGTGAAGAATTTATACAATTATGTCAACAATGTATAGATTTACTTGAATTAATAGCACCTATGTTTAATAATACAAAATGGAATTCAAAAGTTAGTTGAATTCTTCTTTCGACAATATTTAATATTACTTGGTATTTTTTTTTTTGTCTTTAGAAAAACCCTTGTGGCACATTTACAACAACAACAAATGAACTTACATCGGATCGAATAGATTATTTAACAAATCGAACAAAATTTACTCGTGAAAAAATTTTATATTATTATCAAATATTTCGAAAACATTGTCATTCAGGTCGTTTATCAAAAAGTGAATTTATTAATTTTTATAAAAAATTACTTCAATCAAATTCATCGGAAACTTATTGTGAATTTTTATTTCGTGCTTTTGATAGTTTATCAAATGATGGTTTTATACAATTTGATGAATATCTTATTGCTATCTATATACATAGTAATGCAAGTACACCACGTGAAAAACTTGAATGGCTTTTTAATGCTTATGATCGTGATGGTAATGGATTTATTAGTTATAATGAAATAAATCAAATTGTTCATGCACTTTTTATTTTATACGGTATTGATAGAGAAAAACATAGTGTAGGTTATATATCATATGAAATTATGGCAATATTAGATTTAAATGATGATGATAAAGTATCTAAACAAGAATTTATAAATATGCTTAAAGATAAAGAACTTACTAATTTCTTAGCTCCATCACTTATTAAACAAAATTAAAATAATTTCAAAAAAAAAAGAGAAACAAAAAAAACAATCTTACTAGATGTCTGATTATTTGCTAGATCAAATAACAAATCAGATATTGGTCAATAGACGACGCTACTTATAATTTGTTCTGAATTTTGGTACTTCGATTATATTATGTCAATTTTCCATCTTCGTAATAAACTTTTTTTTCTGTTTTATTTGATTATTTGAATAAACTATCTTACTGAACTACACTTCTATGTTCTTGACAAACATTATACACTCCAACATAAAATGATAAAAAAAGAAGAGCGGAAATGATAAGAAGGAAAAGCTAATAAATAAATATATGAAAATAATAATCTAAAGAAAGAGAAAAAATGAATGCATTACTTAACATGTTGTTCTTGTTTGTTTTCTCATCATTGAATATATACATACTTCAATCGAGGCCAAATCATGAAAAGTATTTGTTATTTGTCGATGAGATTGAAGTTTCTCTTTGCTTCCAGTGTGTTCTATTTAGACAATGAAAGCTACAAGTCTTCTCCACCTTCGAAATCTTCTTCAATTTCGTACACAATGTCGAGGTTTGTTGATTGCTTAAAAAATATAATGACAAAACGTCGAATTAATTTAGGAAACAACATTCTCAGTCAAGAACCATCGGGTCCAAAAATGAAAACAGAAATTCCTGTACGAGGTTTCTTTGTAAAACTTTGGTTTTTTGAGATAAATTCTTTTTTTCATGTATATATAAGGGTCCAAAATCAAAACAATTCATGAAAAAACTCGAGAAAACACAAGTACATAACTATTTTTGAATTTTATAGAAAAATACAAATCAATGATTTTCTAATTTCATAACTTAGAACGCTTTAAGTACAATCTTTGTATTGGATGTTGAAAAATCTATAGGCAATTATGCTGTTGACGTTGATGGAAATATTTTATTAGATGTTTATGAACAAATTGCTTCTCTTCCACTAGGTAATCTATTCAATATATAAGAGAAAGAATCTTATATTTTAAATTACTTTGTTTTTTTTTGTTTGATCTAGGTTACAATCATCCAGCGATTCAAAAAGTTTTTCAAGATTCAAAAAATTTGGTTCGTTACTATAGATCATCAAATATTATCATTCAAATTTCTTTCATATAGAGTCAACTTGTTAATCGACCAGCACTCGGTGTTCATCCAACACCTCAATTTATTAAACAAATAGATCAAACACTACTTCGAGTTATATATTATTATCTAATTTTTTGATTTACTAATTTGATTTTGTGTGCATCTATCTAGATTGCACCTAAAGGTCTTGACTATATTCAACCAATG